CGTGCTCTCCTTTTTCAGATGCACATACCAACCTATAATTAGATTATTATTTAGCGTGCTCTCCTTTCAGATGCTCATACCAACCTATAATTAGATTATTATTTAGCGTGCTCTCCTTTCAGATGCTCATACCAACCTATAATTAGATTATTATTTAGCGAGCTCTCCTTTCAGATGCTCATACCAACCTATAATTAGATTATTATTTAGCGTGCTCTCCTTTCAGATGCTCATACCAACCTATAATTAGATTATTATTTAGCGAGCTCTCCTTTCAGATGCTCATACCAACCTATAATTAGATTATTATTTAGCGTGCTCTCCTTTCAGATGCTCATACCAACCTATAAATTAGATTATTATTTAGCGTGCTCTCCTTTCAGGTGCTCATACCAACCTATAATTAGATTATTATTTAGCGTGCTCTCCTTTCAGGTGCACATACCAACCTATAATTAGATTATTATTTAGCGTGCTCTCATTTCAGATGCACATACCAACCTATAATTAGATTATTATTTAGCGTGCTCTCCTTTCAGATGCACATACCAACCTATAATTAGATTATTATTTAGCGTGCTCCCCTTTTCAGATGCACATACCAACCTATAATTAGATTATTATTTAGCGTGCTCTCCTTTCAGATGCACATACCAACCTATAATTAGATTATTATTTAGCGTGCTCTCATTTCAGGTGCACATACCAACCTATAATTAGATTATTATTTAGCGTGCTCCCCTTTCAGATGCACATACCAACCTATAATTAGATTATTATTTAGCGTGCTCCCCTTTCAGATGCTCATACCAACCTATAATTAGATTATTATTTAGCGAGCTCTCCTTTCAGATGCTCATACCAACCTATAATTAGATTATTATTTAGCGTGCTCTCATTTCAGATGCACATACCAACCTATAATTAGATTATTATTTAGCGTGCTCTCCTTTCAGATGCTCATACCAACCTATAATTAGATTATTATTTAGCGTGCTCCCCTTTCAGATGCTCATACCAACCTATAATTAGATTATTATTTAGCGTGCTCTCCTTTCAGGTGCTCATACCAACCTATAATTAGATTATTATTTAGCGTGCTCTCCTTTCAGATGCTCATACCAACCTATAATTAGATTATTATTTAGCGTGCTCTCCTTTCAGATGCACATACCAACCTATAATTAGATTATTATTTAGCGTGCTCTCCTTTCAGATGCTCATACCAACCTATAAATTAGATTATTATTTAGCGTGCTCTCCTTTCAGATGCACATACCAACCTATAATTAGATTATTATTTAGCGTGCTCTCCTTTCAGATGCACATACCAACCTATAATTAGATTATTATTTAGCGTGCTCTCCTTTCAGATGCACATACCAACCTATAATTAGATTATTATTTAGCGTGCTCTCCTTTTAGTTGCTCATACCAACCTATAATTAGATTATTATTTAGCGTGCTCCCCTTTTTCAGATGCTCATACCAACCTATAATTAGATTATTATTTAGCGTGCTCTCCTTTTAGTTGCACATTCCAACCTATAATTAGATTATTATTTAGCGTGCTCTCCTTTTAGTTGCTCATACCAACCTATAATTAGATTATTATTTAGCGTGCTCCCCTTTTTCAGATGCGCATACCAACCTATAATTAGATTATTATTTAGCGTGCTCTCCTTTTAGTTGCACATACCAACCTATAATTAGATTATTATTTAGCGTGCTCTCCTTTTCAGATGCACATACCAACCTATAATTAGATTATTATTTAGCGTGCTCTCCTTTCAGATGCTCATACCAACCTATAATTAGATTATTATTTAGCGTGCTCCCCTTTTAGTTGCTCATACCAACCTATAATTAGATTATTATTTAGCGTGCTCTCCTTTTCAGATGCACATACCAACCTATAATTAGATTATTATTTAGCGTGCTCTCCTTTTCAGATGCACATACCAACCTATAATTAGATTATTATTTAGCGTGCTCTCCTTTTAGTTGCACATACCAACCTATAATTAGATTATTATTTAGCGTGCTCTCCTTTTAGTTGCTCATACCAACCTATAATTAGATTATTATTTAGCGTGCTCTCCTTTTCAGATGCACATACCAACCTATAATTAGATTATTATTTAGCGTGCTCTCCTTTCAGATGCTCATACCAACCTATAATTAGATTATTATTTAGCGTGCTCCCCTTTCAGATGCACATACCAACCTATAATTAGATTATTATTTAGCGTGCTCTCCTTTCAGATGCTCATACCAACCTATAATTAGATTATTATTTAGCGTGCTCTCCTTTTAGTTGCACATACCAACCTATAATTAGATTATTATTTAGCGTGCTCTCCTTTTCAGATGCACATACCAACCTATAATTAGATTATTATTTAGCGTGCTCTCCTTTTAGTTGCTCATACCAACCTATAATTAGATTATTATTTAGCGTGCTCTCCTTTTCAGATGCACATACCAACCTATAATTAGATTATTATTTAGCGTGCTCTCCTTTCAGATGCTCATACCAACCTATAATTAGATTATTATTTAGCGTGCTCCCCTTTCAGATGCACATACCAACCTATAATTAGATTATTATTTAGCGTGCTCTCCTTTCAGATGCTCATACCAACCTATAATTAGATTATTATTTAGCGTGCTCTCCTTTCAGATGCACATACCAACCTATAATTAGATTATTATTTAGCGTGCTCTCCTTTTAGTTGCACATACCAACCTATAATTAGATTATTATTTAGCGTGCTCTCCTTTTAGTTGCTCATACCAACCTATAATTAGATTATTATTTAGCGTGCTCTCCTTTCAGATGCTCATACCAACCTATAATTAGATTATTATTTAGCGTGCTCTCCTTTCAGATGCACATACCAACCTATAATTAGATTATTATTTAGCGTGCTCCCCTTTTTCAGATGCTCATACCAACCTATAATTAGATTATTATTTAGCGTGCTCTCCTTTTAGTTGCTCATACCAACCTATAATTAGATTATTATTTAGCGTGCTCTCCTTTCAGATGCACATACCAACCTATAATTAGATTATTATTTAGCGTGCTCTCCTTTTAGTTGCACATACCAACCTATAATTAGATTATTATTTAGCGTGCTCCCCTTTTTCAGATGCACATACCAACCTATAATTAGATTATTATTTAGCGTGCTCTCCTTTTAGTTGCTCATACCAACCTATAATTAGATTATTATTTAGCGTGCTCTCCTTTCAGATGCACATACCAACCTATAATTAGATTATTATTTAGCGTGCTCTCCTTTTAGTTGCTCATACCAACCTATAATTAGATTATTATTTAGCGTGCTCCCCTTTTTCAGATGCACATACCAACCTATAATTAGATTATTATTTAGCGTGCTCTCCTTTTAGTTGCTCATACCAACCTATAATTAGATTATTATTTAGCGTGCTCTCCTTTCAGATGCACATACCAACCTATAATTAGATTATTATTTAGCGTGCTCTCCTTTTAGTTGCACATACCAACCTATAATTAGATTATTATTTAGCGTGCTCTCCTTTTAGTTGCTCATACCAACCTATAATTAGATTATTATTTAGCGTGCTCTCCTTTCAGATGCTCATACCAACCTATAATTAGATTATTATTTAGCGTGCTCTCCTTTCAGATGCACATACCAACCTATAATTAGATTATTATTTAGCGTGCTCTCCTTTTAGTTGCACATACCAACCTATAATTAGATTATTATTTAGCGTGCTCTCCTTTTAGTTGCTCATACCAACCTATAATTAGATTATTATTTAGCGTGCTCCCCTTTTTCAGATGCACATACCAACCTATAATTAGATTATTATTTAGCGTGCTCCCCTTTTTCAGATGCACATACCAACCTATAATTAGATTATTATTTAGCGTGCTCTCCTTTTTCAGATGCACATACCAACCTATAATTAGATTATTATTTAGCGTGCTCTCCTTTTTGTTTTAAGGTATGTAAAAGTTACAAGATACCAGAAACAGGATAGTTTTTGGATATAACTGAATAAAATTTGTTTATTTAATGAATTTAGCTGTTAATTCTATCAAGCAATAATGAGCGTAATGTTTTAAAAGGAATTTGACTTTTTGGAAACGCATCTCTTCGCGACATTCCACTCATAATTCTCAAGAAATCATTTGTAGCTCAGTGTAAAAACGTTACAAATAGTTGACGTCAAATACTCCGAACATTGATCCGAATAAAACATTCCAACCTTAATGAACACCTTGTGACTGTCTAAAGACCAGGTGGTTTTGTGACGATAGGGGAATGATTTACGTTGCCATAAACTATTATAATTAATCTAGTAAGAGTGCAAATAATAGGATGATCTGTCTTTAATTATCCGTGCTAATTACGTTTTGACATGTTTCTCGTCACACCGTATGAATAATATTTCCCTTGTCATTCCTGGCTCTCGTATAATAATGGGTTTAGCTGCCACTCTGTCAATCATCATTTCTATTTAGTGTGATTTCATTTTGTTTCGAATAAGAAAATAAGAGAGGGTGTCTTAATTTGTGAGCTGTTTAAGTCGGACATTAACCTTAGCTTAACCTATGGAGTCCGTACAACTTATGTGAGTAACATTATATAGATTTTGAACCTATCGTAATGAGAATTCTTGCTATTTTCACCATTAATTTTTGGAATGTCTCAATTGAATGACGATAATGGAGAAACGTTGCTTCACCAATTCATCATGACGAAAACCTTTAAACATTTTCCCCAAATTAATGGCGAATGGTATAGATAATGGTATAGTCTATAGATAATGGTATAGATAATGGTATAGATAATGGTATAGATAAATAACTTATATTCCGGTCCAATTTTAAGTGAGTCAGACCAGCAAGCTTATAACTATTTACTTATTACTAATATTGCATAGCTAAAATATTACATATCAGTAATAAATATTAGTAATAAACCTCACGGCCCAGGAATGTTGACGGAGACTGGATGACTGTAAATGGGAGTGTCACTGTCACCTCTCCGCAAGCAATCCTCACAGAGGACATCTTTCTCCACCACACCATCAACCCCTCCACCAAGCTCTTCCTAGCTCTCTACTACACGCTCATCCTCATCATGTGTTGGACTGGCAACAGTTTCACCCTCTACGCTACTGTTAAACACAATGCTATTAAGCTGGACAAGTTGTCTGTGTGGATCATACAGAACCTCTGCGTGGCTGATATCCTTCATGGTTAGTACCTTATATAGGCATCACGTGTAGTGCACACTCCTTATATAGGCATCACGTGTTGTCTGTGTGGATCATACAGAACCTCTGCGTGGCTGATATCCTTCATGGTATGTTTTTAGTACAAATTGTTCACGATTGTCTGTGATAATTGTAGTCGCCATTTTCGTCAAGAATTGCGAAAAAGGCGGGAAATTTACTAAATTGTTCCCAATCTTATTATTTATTATTATGTCCGCAATCGAACATGCCAATATTGTTTTAATATACCTTTAAGTTCTACACTACCAAGATAAGATAATCTATGAGGATATCAGTAGTCAATGACTAGACAGGGTTATTGAAACTTACAAAGAATAAAATGGCGTCTGGACTTGGGACCAGCTCATAGTACATTTCATTAATGCCTTCTGAAAACCATTCTGCTAGCTCAAATTATTGTTTATTATTATTAAAACTAAATATGCATATGTAACAAACCTCTCCCCAGGCTGGATCCACGTACTCCCCGTAGTAATAGCCCTCTTCTTCAAATACGACCTGGAGCCCATCTGTAAACCGCTCCTCACAATAAAGTACGTCTTTATAGACGCTAACTCCTTCTTGATTAACGCACTAGTGTTCAACAAGTTGTACCGGTGCAGGTAAACGAACGACTTATTATACATACCACATTTAAATCGTAATCATTTATTTTATTGAGCAATATACCACGCTACAATCAATATTATTCGTAACTAATTATATCCGAGGGATCACATTTGAATCGTAATCGATAGTTTGATCCAGTAATTTACTACGTTACAATTAGATATGCTAGTCGTAACTAATTTCATCCAAGATACCATACATACCATTCAATTACTTTAAACTGACATATAGGTAAAGTCCTCGTCACTTGTTTGGTATAATATAGGTAAAGTTCTCGTCACTTGTTTGGTATAATATAGGTAAAGTTCTCGTCACTTCATTAAACCAGTAGCGGTCGCCGTTCCGCAAGTGCTGTGGGTAATTTACCTATATTATATCTACTCAGGTTCCCCTTCCGGCCAGCTTCTACTGCTAATACCAGGGTCGGGTTAGTGTACACTCCTTATATAGGCATCACGTGTAGTGTACACTCCTTATATAGGCATCACGTGTAGTGTACACTCCTTATATAGGCATCACGTGTAGTGTACACTCCTTATATAGGCATCACGTGTAGTGTACACTCCTTATATAGGCATCACGTGTAGTGTACACTCCTTATATAGGCATCACGTGTAGTGTACACTCCTTATATAGGCATCACGTGTAGTGTACACTCCTTATATAGGCATCACGTGTAGTGTACACTCCTTATATAGGCATCACGTTTACCTATATTATATCTACTCAGGTTCCCCTTCCGGCCAGCTTCTACTGCTAATACTCGGGTCGGGTTGACGGTGTGTGCGGGACTGAGTGGCTGCTTGTACGCTGTCATCACTATCATCAAAGTTATTCATACCAGACATGCTAGGTAAGCTTTCGTTTCTTTTTTAAATTCTTTCCTTTATTGAATTTTTCTTAAATTTTGTTTTCCTTGTACCATGTGTTATACTTTTCTTTTTACCACTCATCCGTTAATGTTCTTTAATATTGTGGTAATTTATTGCATCTGGTAAAGAACACAGTTCTTTTTATGCATAATATTGCAATTCTAATTTCATAGCAATTTTATATAATTTATTGCACAATCACGACAGTTTATTAGATTAATGTTCTCCCCGAAGTAATTTGATTCTAGATTTTTAAGGCATTTTAGATCTTCGTTTGTTTAGTACTTATTAAACTAACCAACTTAATTTCATTGTAGCTAATAATAGAATGATGTAATCTTACGAAGCATACACTACATTTGCGTGTTTCACTGTCTAACCATAATCTCCCCGCAGGTTTCAAGAGAACTTCTTTGGTTGTGAGGCGGACGACCCAATGCCAGCCCGGTACAACAAGCTGGATCTGGTGATGACGTGCATTGTTCTGGTTATACCCGTTACTACTCTTGTTATTGCTAATACTGCCCTTCTTATTATAGCACTGGGCAAAGGTGGGTTTCTTTCCGTTCATAGATGTAGTGAAAATTATTTTTGACACATTTAATTAATATATTATGTATATACATATTATTAGGCTTTGGTTGACAAATTCAAAATTAAACTGAATCAATCAAAAATACGCGAAATTAAAGGCAATAAACTATCCTAACATTAAAAATGTTTTGAAACTTCAGTATGAGAGGGCCAATTATTTAAATGAAGCATTCAAACTAATGTCCCAAATATTTGTATGATGATGATCTAGACAACCTTTTTGTTGTCTAGACAACAAAGTATCATTTCCAAACAAATGATCTGTCTGATCAAATGATCCTTTAGTTCGATGGCCAATTTTCCGAGAAAAATAAATTGAACAACTTTTCAATCGATCAAACAATGATATGAGTATTGCTGAAAGCACAGTGTAAGGCCTACATTTAATGAGCGACGAAGATGAACAAATCGATCTTTAAAATACACTGCGATGAAATTTCATTGCGTTTAAATCGCATCGTTTTGACCGATTTGAAAAGTTCTAGTTCTGATTTAGGAGAACATATTTTGGAACAACGTAAAACAATTTGAACAATTAGAATCATGAGAGCATTAATTGTTCGACTGAAGAACAGTGTAAAATGCTGTAATTCATGTAATTAGTGTATTAATTATGTAATTAGTACTGTAATTATACGTTCAGTTAACCACAACCATCCCAGGTATGAACCTACCAGAAACCCGAGAGCGAACCTCCAGCTTAACCGACCGCCGCAAATCAATCCTAAACGCCCAGATAAACAAACGCAGCTTTATCATTATTGGAGCTACCACCATATTCTACACAGTAGCCCAACTCCCTTATCTCTACTTCTGTTTCGAGATGTACGGGATCACTAATACTCTGAGTGGACTGACCCTGGTCAGATTCACACGGTTCTCCTTTGTAATAATGCAGAGCTCCTGTTTTGTAAACCCTATAATATACTTCACGACTAACAGAGGGTTCAGAAGGTTCATGATAGAGTGCGTGTACAGGTGCATCGGTAAACACAGTGAGATTGAACGTAGAAGTTCAATAGCGGCTCTCTCCCGGAAAGAAACTAGAATGATGAACTCGGTATCTGAGAAATCAACTCGTTTCAGTACGGTAGCTCCGCGGTTGGAGAGTAAAACAAGCAGTGTTATTTTTAACGTCAGAGCGTATTACGGATGCTACAATGTTAATGTGCCCAAATGTAAGGGAATTAGTCTTTCAGCAAGAGGCTGCTGTCTCTCAGAACATAAACTAAATGGGAATGATGTAGATGGTATTAAAGATGATATGAATGGAAACAATGGTAATCTTCTTGAAACAGAGATGAAAGAAGAGTTTACGTAGATTCAAGTTTCAAACTCGGCCTATTTTTTGTCTTTTTTAATTGTTTAGTAATTTAATCTTTTGTTTTTTATAGTTCAATTTAGCCGTTGAAACATTTTGTATTCATGACTACCAATATTCAATCGCTACCATTACCAAATGGGGTCAACTGGTAATTTTGATCGATCCTATTTTGCTAAATACAGCAATTGAAATGTTTTTAAAACGGATAAAAGTGTATTGACATTTTTTAAAAGTGAAAGTGAAAGTGAAAGTGAAAGTGAAAGTGAAAGTGAAAGTGAAAGTGGAATAACTTACGAAAGGCCAGCCAGGCCAGCAGAGAAGAAGAGTTCAGCCACTCTGTTACAGTACAATTCCACGTAGAGGCAGTTGAGAGCGTACGTTCTGACGTTCTCACAAACTCTTTTACTGTGAGAATGATGCAGTTAATAACAGTATAGACGAATTATTAATACATAATAGTGGCAGGACAATAAATATTTTATATTATCAATGTTGCACAAATGTTATTTTTGAGCAGGTGTACAAAAAAAGTTAAAGAGGCAGTTATAATTTTGTCGTCGTGTTGTTGTTGTAAAGACCCGTATAGAGCCACCTCTAAGGGCTTTGAGACAGTTTATTAAATATAATAATCAATAATATCGAAAGTCGTTTCAAAATATTTTCAAACTCAAAGTTGAAATCACACTCACACTAAAAAGATCAATTATTTTGTCAAATAGTAAAAATTTAAAAAAAAAACTCTCGACACATTACAGTACGTGACACGTGAGCATGATTAGCATGCCTTTCATTTTATTTGTACCACTTAAGTCCCAGAACTTTTTATTTCTTAATTCTGCTTGCTATAGTTTGTTATAATATACGGCTATTCTAATTTCTAGAAATTTTCAAGCGTGACGATGAAAATCTTATCGCGAGAATTATCTTTTTTTTGTAGTGTAGTTCTGAGTTATACTCAGATGCAGAAGACAAATTAAACCTGAAGAGATGAAGGTAGATCATACACTATACTGCCCAAATTTGACAAAAGGAAGTATGTGCATTTTTGACTTTTCGAGATAATGGCAAGTTTGTGATGGCCGTTTTTTTTCACCTTATGGGTTGAAATGTTTTCTTGGGATAATGTTTTTTTAATCCAAAATTGTCAGAAAAAACTTGTGAGACTTCATCCATTCCCTCTTCTTTGACCATTTTTCCTCAAAAACGACCGTTTTAAAACAATTTATCCAGTTATTTTACCCTGTGTATTTCAATACATAAAAGGAAGTAAGTACAATGATCAATATAATAAATATCATAAAAAGGAAGTATGTCCAACAAAAAAGGAAGTATGTACACACAGTAATGGGCAAAATAATTTTACAAAAGGAAGTATGTGCGCACATACTTCCTTTTGTGATAATCTACCAGCAAGTATCAGGATATTCAGGTGAAAAACTGTCACATACTTCCCTGGGTCAACATTATAGAAGCATTTTCATGTAATGCCACTTATCCAGTGGGATAGAGCTTAAATTGCCAGCTTTTCAACGGTATATAAAACTCCATATCTTCAAAAATGTCACATACTTCCTTTTGTCAAATTTGGGCAGTATACCTGAAGATATGAAGGTAGATCATACACTATACCTGAAGAGATGAAGGTAGATCATACACTCGGGGTCCTCAAATACCTCATCGTTATGGAACCACACTTTATGACTCGGTTCGTCTGTTATTACAACAGGAAACGGCACAGAGCCTTCCACGTCCACATCTTTCATCTCAAAGTCCTTGGAAAATAGACAGCTATAACTTGTGAGAATTTTGATAGTTCAAGATTTAACAACTTGGGAATTATATCATAGTGTGGGTATGATAGAGCTATTGCTAAACTAATCTATTTTAAAGTTTACTGCAATGACATTTTACTGCTTTATTTACCTCAGGTATGTACTTGTTCGGCTCAGGAAGTTTAAACTCTGACTTGAAGAGAGGTAGTATTTTGGGTGAAACTGTTTTGAGCATGTCGATAAAGTCAGGCTCAAAGTTACCTTCACAGTACACTCCCTTGAACCACTTCTCTGTTGTTCTACAAACGTCTGGAAACCATGATTAACATAAGATAATTTAAACAAAACTGAAGTAGTCGTGATTTTATGTTAAGCTATTTTGGCAGCTTAAATACTTTTTGGACTGACAATTTATAAATCATATCCACTCTGGACACCTTGGCCCTTACCAATATCACAGAATAATCAAAGTATAAAATTCACTTCCATTCTAAAGCTCGACTCTACTCCCTAACCTACTCCTAAACTATATTCTATAACCTTGGAATGTTCTGCTCTGGAGGACGACGAACATCCTGTCCGGAGTTAGAGAGTTGACCAGGTCCATTATTAGGTCAGGTTTATATTCGAACACTTGTTCTGGTCCGTTTAGGTAGTGCTCGGGTGGATATATCTAGGAATACTGGAGGTAAGTGTAACAACTAAGTGTAGTAACTAAGTGTAACTAAGTGTAACAAAGTGTAACTAAGTGTAACTAAGTGTAACTAAGTGTAACTAAGTGTAACTAAGTGTAACTAAGTGTAACATAGTGTAAAAACAAAGTGTAAAAACAAAAGTGTAACTAAGTGTAACTAAGTGTTACTAAGTGTAACTAAGTGTAACTAAGTGTAACTAAGTGTAACTAAGTGTAACTAAGTGTAACTAAGTGTAACTAAGTGTAACTAAGTGTAAAAACAAAGTGTAAAAACAAAAGTGTAACTAAGTGTAACTAAGTGTAACTAAGTGTAACTTAGTGTAACTAAGTGTAACTAAGTGTAACTAAGTGTAACTAAGTGTAACTAAGTGTAACTAAGTGTAACTAAGTGTAACAAAGTGTAAACAAAAGTGTAACTAAGTGTAACTAAGTGTAACTAAGTGTAACTAAGTGTAACTAAGTGTAACTAAGTGTAACTAAGTGTAACTAAGTGTAACAAAGTGTAAAAACAAAACCACGCAATCGGAGTAAGGAGAACAAATTATCAGATTTAAAAAGCAAGTAATAATAAAAGTAAGATGCATTTTGCGTCCTAATTGTTTTCAAATAATTAAGAAAAAGTAAATTTCACGCACGGCCATGTTCTCTGCTAGATCCTCCACTTTGCTGTAGGGGTCTTCTGCCTCCATGTTGTCAAAATCAATGTCCATCATTGTTTTCATCTCGTTGAATATCCTAGGTATGGAGTGTAAAGGGAAAGAAAGGGAAAGAAAGGAATAGTTAATATTACCATTGAGCCATTGTGAAAGTATGAATAAGAAGATGGAAACGGTAAGTGTTGTGAAGTCTGGATGGTCCTGAATCTTAGAATTTGAAGATAATTATATTAATTAATTAATTAATTAATTAATTAATTATATTAATTTGATTAATTAATTAATCAATTAATTAATTAGATAAACTCAGCGGCTCTACTACGACGTATTGTGCTGGTAATCTTCATCCAGTGGGTTAAACACGAAGAGTAGGGACCGTTACTGTAACATGTACAAGTAGTATCAGTGTGATGTGAGCAGTTTGGTGTGTGAACCGAACTGGGTGAGATGATGGTTTGTGAGTTGTTACCATATTATGTGTGTTGTGTACCATACCAATCTTAATTAGTAATGTGTATTTTAAGTTTTTGAGCTGAAATGAACTCTGTGCTATGAGAAATTTATAAAAGTTTAAATTAAAGTCATCAGGTTGTGAATGTACGATTACATTAAGGATTGTAAATGCTCACCTCTCACAAGGTAGCTGTTTTCTCAACATTTGAATGTACTGGAAAACCAGTTTAATAACAGCTCTGAAGCTCTCCAGACCGGTTTCTGATAGTGTTATCTCCAGAATAAACCTGGTGAAGTTAGTATATATAACTAAGTGTAACAAAGTGTAAAGTAAGTGTAACTAAGTGTAACTAAGTGTAACAAAGTGTAACAAAGTGTAACAACAAAGTGTTATCTCCAGAATAAACCTGGTGAAGTTAGTGTAACAAAGTGTAACAAAGTGTAACAAAGTGTAACAAAGTGTAACTAAGTGTAACAACAAAGTGTTATCTCCAGAATAAACCTGGTGAAGTTGGTCCCGCTATCAAACCCTCCTAATGCACTCTCACACAGGATATCCGTAGCGTAACCCTGACAAATAGGATGAATATATTATATTACTAGCGTAACCCTGACAAATAGGATGAATATATTATATTATTTTCACTTAATAAGTTAAACCTCGTAATTTACAAGAAACCGAATGTTACTGTTACTAGCATATTAAAACAACAGCTCCTTTTGAGAATTCACTCTGTGATGGATAATCTACATTGTGACGGATAATATTACCTTGTAGCAGATAATATTACCGCTCCTTTATAATTACCGCTCCTTTATAATATTACCTTGTGTTTGAGAGCGGATATGAGAGATCCCGTGCCCTGGTGTCCGAGTAAGAACTCCACATACTCCAATGGTTTTGAGCGGAAATGTTGGGTTTGAGGTGTCAAAAACCATGACATTATAAGCTTCTTCTTATCTTTAACAGGACAATACCTGGGAGGGGAAACCATGACATTATAAGCTTCTTCTTATCTATAACAGGACAATACCTGGGAGGGGAAACCATGACATTATAAGTTTCTTCTTATCTTTAACAGGACAATACCTGGGAGGGGAAACCATGACATTATAAGTTTCTTCTTATCTTTAACAGGACAATACCTGGGAGAGGGAAGTCTGGGAGGGGGAAATATAATATACATTGGAGGGTATAATACTGTATTGGGAAGGGGAATACGATACTCTAGAGCCATCATCATCAGGGGTAAAAAGTGAAATTTATTATTGATGGATTACCACATCTTAGTTCGCTAATGGACACTAGGCTATAGACTCTATAGTCTATGGTATCGTCTCTCTCTCTCTCTCTCTCTCTCTCTCTCTCTCTCTCTCTCTCTCTCTCTCTCTCTCTCTCTCTCTCTCTCTCTCTCTCTCTCTCTCTCTCTCTCTCTCTCTCTCTCTCTTCCAGCTGTGACTATTAACTAACTTGATAAAGTTGCATCTTGCCAGAGGAATAGGCAGTTTCTCAAGGGTGGGAATCTCTCTCTCTCTCTCTCTCTCTCTCTCTCTCTCTCTCTCTCTCTCTCTCTCTCTCTCTCTCTCTCTCTCTCTCTCTCTTCCAGCTGTGACTTTTAACTAACTTGATAAAGTTGCATCTTGCCAGAGGAATAGGTAGTTTCTCAAGGGTGGGAATAGGAATCTTCTTGTTGGGAATCTGCTCAAATACTTGGGCCATTTTCTCTAGTTTCTCTCTAATGTGAACGTCTCTCTCGTCATCTACTCTCCTTCTTAATCCTCTGTCTCTCATCTCTCTATCTCACATCATATCCCAAATATCGCTCATTACTCTCTTCTCTTTCAATCTATTACTAATGCTCTCCTCTCCCATCCTCACATCTTCCAATCTACTCTTCATCTCTTCACACAACACTCTAACTTCGCGATCTACTCTTCTGCTCTCACACACACTACACTCTAGCATACTTCTCTTCCCTCAACTTCCTCTCACTCATCCCTCATCTCTACTCATCTAGTCTCTCATACCTTTACACTCCTCAACACATCTTACTGCTCTAGATCCTCTCTTCTATTCTACACCACCATACATTCTCGATCATCTCTCTCTTCTCCTCTACTCCACACTAACTTCTCATTCCTCTCTTTACTATTCTCACTCACCCTACATTAGCGGACTCACTCTTCTCTCCTTGCTCCTCTCTCCCACACTACTTCTCGCATATTCTCTCTCTCTTCTACTCCAAACACTCTCACTATTCCAATCTCTCTCTCATAACTTCACACCTACACTACCTAACTTTCAGAATTAACTCCTCTCTCTCTACCACAACACCTAACTTCGATCTCTCTTCCATGTGACTATCACAAACATAAATTGCAAATTAGCTCAGAGACTTACCACAACACAAAGTGGAATTACTCTTCTTCTCTCACTCCCAAACTCTACTTCAAATAGTACTCTTCTACTTCTCACAAACCATACTTGCAATACTCGTCATACTTACACCACACAACTTAGCAATTCTCTCTCATACTCTCACACAACCATACATTTCGTTCTCTTCATACTTCACCAAACACATAACTTAGACTAACTTCATAAATTACACGCCAGAGAAATAGCATTATCTCAAGAGTAATAATTCTGTGGGAATCTCCAAAATACATTGCCATTCTAGTTCTTCAACGATTAACATTGCAACGAAAATAAATAATCTTAAATCGTTAACTATCATACCAATCATAACCCAAAATGTATACTTTTCTTAATAATACAAACACACAAACAAACAATAGAACTTCATCATATACTTAACTTACACACAAACACATAACATTAGCAGAATAGTACTCTTCATAGACTTACACACAAACACATAACATTAGCAGAATAGTACTCTTCATAGACTTACACACAAACACATAACATTAGCAGAATAGTAACTTATAACTTAGACTACAACACAAATACAAATAGTACATAGCGAAATAACACTTCATACGGAATATAACACTTCGTAAACATTCAGAATAGTACTTCAAATTCACTCAAACAGTTAACATTAGAGTTCTAGTACTCTTCGTAGAACCTCCTCAGCTCTGAAAGCATGTCAATATTCTGTCTCTTAGGGTTCACTATTAGAGTTCCTCTGTTGCCGTGTGTAAAGCCATGGTAGGGGTGATTTGGTTGTATCATTGACTGAGAGATAGCTAGTATCTTCTCCGTGTCACTTTGCAACCTCTCCATATACTCACTGTCCACTGCTTGTACCTGTTGTTTTTTAATCAGTCTGCAGCTAGTTTTGTAATGTGGTTCAGTAGAATGGATAGAACTAGGCGAGAATTTGTTTCAACATAATATTATGATAACTTAAAATGCGAATTCAAGGAGACATATAATATTATGTAGGTCCTCATAATATAATGATCACCCCCCCCCCCCCGCCCCACCCCCCTCCCCCCCCCATCTCTTATTTTACTCCTGGGAGAAAATAAAAAATAAAAATTTTATAATATATTTGTTAAGATTTAAATTGGTCATTAGAACCACCCGGGCACCGTCTCGGTTTACAATCGAATGTATTTCATAAGAGACTTTTCTTGACTAAGCAATGTCACAGTAGGAAATGGTTGCTAACTTTGTACAACACTGTGAATATTATAAGACTGTCTGCGACTGTACAGTGTGTAGAGACTTCTCTAAAGTTTAATAGCAAATCATACTGAATACTGGTGGAGAATTTAGCACAAAAAAAGCAAAACATTTAAACCTTACCTCTCTATTAACGGAGGATTTCCTTAAGAGAGGAGCGACAAATTGTTAAGCAAATCTGTCTATTATTACATATAGTTCTATAAACCTTACCTCTCGTTTTACAGAGGATTTCCTTAAAAGAGGGGCGACGAATTGGTGAGCAAATCTGTCTATTATTATATATAGTTCTATAAACCTTACCTCTCGTTTTACAGAGGATTTCCTTAAAAGAGGGGCGACGAATTGGTGAGCAAATCTGTCTATTATTATATATAGTTCTATAAACCTTACCTCTCGTTTTACAGAGGATTTCCTTAAAAGAGGGGCGACAAATTGTTAAGCAAATCTGTCTATTATTATATATAGTTCTATAAACCTTACCTCTCGTTTTACAGAGGATTTCCTTAAGAGAGGAGCGACGAATTGGTGAGCAAATCTGTCTATTGCTCCTTCCAGGTACTCCGCAGAAACGTCAAACAGATAACTTGTCTGGGTTGAAAAAAGGTTTACATAAATTTCCGCATCCTTTGCAATAAATAAAATCTTATAATCCTGAGTTATCCAAGTAAAAGTTTGAGGCAGTTCTCTAATGACGATTTATTTGAAGAATAGCCTTAAAAACTGTGCCTCTCCAAACAAAGTAACCACGTACCCTCTCCATATCAGTGCTGGCATTACTACTGCCACCATGTTTATCAAGGTACTCATCATACTCGTTCTCATCTGGGTACTTCTTACACCCCATAAACAACATGTGCTCCAGGAAATGTGCCAACCCTGGTGGAGATATAGGTTTCCATGACTACCTATTATTTGTTGGACACTTCAATGTTATGACATGTTACACTGATGTAATGTTTGCAGAATAAAGCAATACAATAATACGTAGCCATGGTAACAATATTGCGGGTAGAACGTCTGTAAATGGTTATTTTAAAATATTATTTAATCTTAATAATAACACAAATTGATTGACTAATTATAATTATCATTACACACCAGGGAGATTGTGAGGCTCCTGAGCACTCCCAACCCGAACTGTCAAACAGACCGCAGCCTTATCAGTGGTAGATACCTCCAGAGCCCTGTACGCAGCACTTTCGCTCTTTGCTTCCTCAGCATCTGAGATCAGCAGACACTGCATTCCGTTTTTAAGGGTAAGCACTCGGTAGTGACTCTCACTTTCTTTTGGTTTTTCAACTATTCTATCCCGGGGATCTTTAGGAATTTTATTTGAATCAGTCTCACTACTGCAAGTTGATTCAGTGCCGGATATACTTCCCAAATCTTCGTCATCTGTAAAGTCAGAATCTGTTCCAGATGCACGGGAGTTCAATGAGAGCTTTTTTATTCTCTTCGTCAATTTCCCCAGCACCATCTTTCAAGGCTGTGAAGGAGACGGGGTATCTAAACAATGAACTTGTAAAACGATGTGAAAAGCTATTGGTAAACAATATCATTCTTAGATTTTAAATAATTAGAAACCTAGACACATCATAAAATAGTCAGACATATTTATTATTTATACTTTAGTATAAGATTGGGATGAAATAAGTATCTTTGACTTTACCTTTTAAGTTATTCTATCAGAGTTCAGTTGAGATGTTAGTAGTCAGTATTATATAAGATTACCATTTACCTGCTTCAAAAATTAGTCGTGTTCAAATGTTTAATTATATTCATTCAACATTGCCAGGATAATAATGATTGAATCTAATTTGATTCTTTAAGTTTTCAAAAAACGGTGATAAAATAATAAAGACTTAATACAATTTAATTGGCAGTTATTATTTAGTGATATAATATTTAGAGTAGCTGTCAAAGCACTTTCACAGCTTTTTGACTTGAATTCCATTCTGATATAATTTACGATCTCAAATAACCGGGAGATCAAAGGGTGTTTATAAGAATAAAACTCTGTGTAACTGTTTAAATTACTGAATATTTACAAAATATTTATTTCAAGCCGAATTTTTTGCTTCAAATTCTGATATAATTTACTAGATTAATTAAGTTTAAAACTCTGAAGTTGCAAATTTCCTCATAAAGTTGTATCCTGAAAAAAAAAACCTGTTTCTTACAGGATGTACTCTGTGACACACTAGTTGCCTTATACTCTTATAATATAAACATCAGCTATGCTGTCTACACGGTTATTTACACGATTTTGTATCCATTTAAAACACTTTTGCAACAAAATATCTGTTCTAAGTTCAGGCATCACTCTGACTTATTCAACTATTAAAACATGTCAAATAGAGTGTTCAGCAATTTATATTATAACCTGAAACACAAGTTAATATCGCACACATATCATAATGCCAATAAATAGAACATGGTAGAACGTATTGTTGCTATTGAATATTCACATGATTTTAATATGAATTGCTGCTTTCAGTTTCAATTTGCATCTGTTGTTTGACAGCTTGTTGAGCATCTTTCTGAATCTCTTCCATCCTCTCCAAGGTGATACTCTTAAGTGGCATTATTCTCGGTTTACACAGCACCATATGACTTGTTTCCTCAAAATAGAGTACCCCTTTCTTTGGTAGCACTTCAGGCAAAACAACTGAACTTTCTTTGTCTGACATATTTCTTGAGTAAAGGGAAATAATTAGTTACTTCATAGTACGCGTTGTTAAAGTCGACTTTTATTGAATGAAGCTAACTCCAGACATAAATAATACTACTTCTATTAACAAAGGGACTTGGAGTATAAACCGACCAATTTTGCATAATTGTCTATCCAACCAAGAATTCAGGAGGCAAGGGTGGGTGCGTAAACTTTATGGTCTGCACTCTCAGATCCTGTATCACCCTGGATTCATTTCGACGTACTTTTGGTAAAAGTATACATATACTTTCTGGTCACTCTCTTGCTACTCCAAGTCCCCTAAGATATATGGTCTAAAGTTTGCACTAGTTATATTTATAAAATATGTTTTTGTCTGCTTTAACTGATACTAAATAAAATTGTTTTTTTCTTGAATTGTTGTTTTCTTGTTTTTTTCTTGACTTGACCACACCGTCACTCTCATTAGCGCAGTTGGTGAAAAGACCCAGGCAATGTTAATTTTTATTAGCCCTGCTTGACTGCTGAGAGTGACAATGGGTCTGACATTATAGTATAGTCAAAAATCTGATAATATTGCTACACTCCAGTTACATTTAATTTGTAAGTTTATTTATTTTACAGCTGCTCGCAATACATTATAATTATACTTTTAGATATCACATGTTCAGTTAATAAACAAGAAATGCGGCCGCTTTTCTTTTGTGGATGGCCGCTCAATTTCCCGATCAGTGATTCAATATTATATACAATCTGGGGACGGCCCAGTCTTTACTGTTTATATAAACATGCAAATATGGCGAAGTGACATGCCGACTGCCGAGCGCCGCCCAGTTAATATAATTCTATATTGAATTTGAAAATCGTGTATACTTCTATTTAACCATATGTTTATTGTTTATGCAACCTGACACGGATCTGTGCAAAATAGTAATACTAACTCAAAATAATAATAATATGCTATCAATTAGTGCCTAGTGGGATACGTACATGATGAAATTAATAATGTACTTGGTTGGTTCAGCGCTGTGCGCCAACAATTATATAATTCAGATTGTCACGCAAAATAACTTTGCGCAGGTAGTCACGTGGGCGATAACAGTGCTCGCAGGCACGTACGGTCGCACACTCGCAGGCACGGTCGCAAAGCTACCATATTTTTAAAAAACCTCGATCGCTAACCCTTGTCCTTGACTCTTTTGTGCCTTCGGCACTTTGAGTCATGGATCGGGAAAAAATTATAGGAAATAGGTCCAAAACCAATACAAGCATGATACCAGACCAAGATCAACATTAAGAAAAACAAAACATCGAAAGCTGCAGCATAAATTATACTCAGATCAGTAAAATAACATCACAGATGAGTCTCCATATTATATTATCTAAGTCACAATTTATCTAAGTTTTGTAATGACCTCCTCGTAGTACCAGCAATGAAAATACAGCAACAGTTGTAATGATTTTAGACCTGAGTGCTGCATTCGACACAGTTGATCATAGCAAGCTAATTAACATATTGAAGTGTGAGATTGGGATTGAGGGAACAGCCTTAAAATGGTTTACCAGCTTCATCCGTGGTCATTGTCAAAAAGTCAAGATTCGATCGGTGACCTAGAATTTGAAGAAACTGTTTCGGTATAACCAGCAGCTGGCTTGGGGTCATGTCTAGGTGTGGTCTGGTTTTTCTATCTCTCCTTAATATTTCCCTGATAGTAATTTGTAATTGTTCCTTACTGAACCCTGGACCAAATTTATCCGTTGTTTACAACAATGTCCATGGTTTCCTAAATACACGCGATTTAGCATCAGGAACACCACCACTAAATATGACCAAGATACATGAATTCCATGGTTATATCTACAAACATAAGCCTCACATCATTATTCTAAACGAGACATGGCTGAAAAATTCCATTCTCAGTAATGAGGTGCTCCCTGACAAATACAAAGTATTTAGGCTTGACCGATCCTTAAGATCGCATCCAGTGGATGCAACCCAGCCCAAGAAATTCAGAAAAAACGGTGGTGGTGTTCTGATTGCCCATAGAACAGACATTGATATCTCGAGTCTAAAGCTCTCTAAAGTTAGTGTTCAAGCTGAATTATTATCCATCATAATTAAGACTCTTATATTTGATCCTTCGAACAGCTAGTAAGGGGAAAAGTGGTCGATTTAAGGGTTCCGTTGGATTTGAATGTTCACAAGGATTTCTCAACGGAATATGGTAGTTAGGACCCCTACGAACATAATTAGACTTGTTGCCAATTTTGTATCTCAACAGAAACACCACTTTTACCACTTTTTACCACCTTTGTACCACCTTTCTGGTTTGCCAAATATCTTTAGTTGTGAACGTCGTAGAAGGCTGCAAATTAACCTAGAATGTTTATCTTATCAAGGAGTAAAACTTTTGTATGAAAAATTTTTACATTGGACAATCAGCTAATTGGATAATTACCAATTAGTTAATCACTAAAAAAAGTGAAAATTTTTTATTGGCTCAAAATGATTGAAATTGTTTGAAACACGGAGAAATGTAGTTTTTAGAAAAACTTCAAAAATTTTTCAGTTACAATTTTTTTTCGAGACTTGGAAAAAAGTTTGAAAATTTGAAAATATTTTTTTCCGCCAAAAGTGATCGAATTGCATGAAACGTGGATAAAAATGCTTTGCAGAAAAACTTCGAAGATTTTTAGATTGGGGAATACTAAAATCATCAATATTTGAAGTTGGAGTTCAGTAAATCTCGACATATTTTAGTAATTAGGAATAGCTTAGCGGAAAGGGCTGAACCTGAAAAAGGTTAACCACACAATATTAGAGTTTCATAACTAATTACAATACAGCTTTATCAAATTCCACATAAAGAAACAGCACAAAAGAACCATTTAAGATCGAACCGATTTTACCTGCTGTACTATCATTTTATTGATTTCAATGATCAAAACCTCTGTACCGTCAATCTTGCCAATCTATACCGGGTATCTGAATGTACCGGACCTCTTATTTACCTCTATAATTAGACCCAGTTGTGCAAGAAATGCGATTTCTCACAGGGGTTTCTTTTAACTGTGCACTTTTTGTCACTCTGGCAAGAGGCCTGGTATTATAGGGGGGTATAGGAAGCGAGTGTAAATATACCTTCCATCATCCACTGTGGCTTTTTTGTATTGTGAATGCGCATGCCGCATCGTTTGCTATGCCAGATAACTCAAATAACCTCCATATCTCATTGCCAGGGTCGGGATAGAGCTGGAGATAGCATCGAGAGGTTGCTAGAAATAGCAAGATTTAGAGTAAACTGGTGGTAGCTGGGTGGTGCTAGCATGGATGTAGCAGAACGTAGCTACACGGGGTTTCATTGAAGTTTGAAAATTTGAAAATATTTTTTTCCGCCAAAAGTGATCGAATTGCATGAAACGTGGATAAAAATGCTTTGCAGAAAAACTTCGAAGATTTTTAGATTGGGGAATACTAAAATCATCAATATTTGAAGTTGGAGTTCAGTAAATCTCGACATATTTTAGTAATTAGGAATAGCTTAGCGGAAAGGGCTGAACCTGAAAAAGGTTAACCACACAATATTAGAGTTTCATAACTAATTACAATACAGCTTTATCAAATTCCACATATAAAGAAACAGCACAAAAGAACCATTTAAGATCGAACCGATTTTACCTGCTGTACTATCATTTTATTGATTTCAATGATCAAAACCTCTGTACCGTCAATCTTGCCAATCTATACCGGGTATCTGAATGTACCGGACCTCTTATTTACCTCTATAATTAGACCCAGTTGTGCAAGAAATGCGATTTCTCACAGGGGTTTCTTTTAACTGTGCACTTTTTGTCACTCTGGCAAGAGGCCTGGTATTATAGGGGGGTATAGGAAGCGAGTGTAAATATACCTTCCATCATCCACTGTGGCTTTTTTGTATTGTGAATGCGCATGCCGCATCGTTTGCTATGCCAGATAACTCAAATAACCTCCATATCTCATTGCCAGGGTCGGGATAGAGCTGGAGATAGCATCGAGAGGTTGCTAGAAATAGCAAGATTTAGAGTAAACTGGTGGTAGCTGGGTGGTGCTAGCATGGATGTAGCAGAACGT